ACCCCAAAACCCCAAAACCCCAAAACCCCAAAACCCCAAAACCCCTAATGAGCAACAAGTGATTGGATATAAAAAATTAATAGAATTGACTTCTTAGTTATGAATCAATATTGCAAAGAAATGTACCAGAACTCTAACGTAAGCGTTTGCCACAATTTTCTCCTGCTTGTTTGTGCAAAATGAGCATAGGAGCTCCCTCTTGGGAGCTTCTATGCTATCAAGGTCCAAAATTCATGAAAAATCTAGAAGAATGTTTCTAAATAGAGTGTTGTAATGCTAATAATTGTCATCAGGCTATTTAGAAGGGGTAGAACTTTTGGAAATCTGAAAAATTATATCCTGGTCCAGAAATTAACTCCCAAATGCAGCTCTATGAGCCACACAAATAAGTCAGATATTATATTTTTGATAAGATTTTCGATTAATTATTAAAGAAATCTTTAACCGTGAGAAGAAAATTTCGAAATAATTTTTTGGAGAGGATTCATTGATTTCAAAAATTACGATTTTCTCCCCCAATCTCTCCCTGAATAACACAAACTAAGCTAAGCTGCCTAATTCAGCGCATTTTGGAGTAGCCTTTGTATCTTTTCTTGAGATCATTCCAGATTTTTCTCTCTGTTGAGGACTTAAGAGAAGTTTTACAGCATAATCTTGAGTAACACTTTTAAGAACTCCGAGGTGATATCCACTCTTGTAAAATAAATTCCGCTTTTTATAACGATTGTGAACAGCAAGGTTTTTGGGGTGATTCTTTACGAATTTATCCAAAATTAGAAAACCCAGATCTTTAATAAAGATTCTTAAGTCACCTTCTAAGGATATTCTTGGTGCTTTTGGGTCTCAAGAGTGTCAAGCAACAAGTAATTTGAATCTAGGTCGTGAGTAGTTTTGCAGTAGGGATCCCGTCAACCCTTTGAGACTCCTTGTAAGTCAGAATGTGATTGAGCAGCACTTTCCTGCTAAGTTTTCTTCAGCCTTGTTAAGCCATCTTTGTCTAATTCATCTTTGTGAGTATAGGAACAGAAAAGATAAAATTTACGAGCCTGTGAGCAGGGTCAAGAAAAACCAGATAATCCTTGAGGTTGATGGAGTTTTCTGGAAGGGCAAAGTCTTTGACTGGTTCAGCAAGGTATATTCCTTCAACCATATACTGAATTTTACCTTTTGGCTACTTTTTCTCATTTGGTATCCAGATTAGATATGCAATAAAATTTTAGCTGTTAGGTTTCCAATTTAGCAAGTTGTTGGAGTCTTTTCTATTTTACTTTCCTTATAGCTCCCGATTGAGGACCGAGTAATAGCATGCAAAACAATAGATAAGAACTTATCAGGTACTTGTAGATTTGGATACCTTCTTAATCTTTAGAAATGCTTGTCAGCTTGAATAAAAATTATGATAATATCATGAATTGAGAGATCGCTTTTAAAAACAACAAGGACACATCATCCCACGAGGAGAAGAAGAACCATGATGATTTTATGATACGCAAGGTTAATTCAAGTACGTTTTAGTCATTCTTTGCCCATATAAAGCTTCTGGATTTTTGATGAATCGAGCTAAATGCATCATATCTTTCTTGAAAGACTTCTTCAGGTCGAAATTAGGATGTTATCACTAATCTGATTTATCATCGAGTAACTTATGGATATAGTGCAATATCATGAATTCTCTCAAGAGAGATACAAAGATCATATCTCTAAGAAGAAAAATGCTGAGAAACTGCTGATACAGAACCTGATATTCTGAGACACTAATCAATATTGTGATACCTTTACTGTTAGCCAAACACTAGTGCAAGAGCCAGTTGAGTTTTTTAAGATATTCTCTGATGCTACTCAAGACTGTGCCTTTAGCATTCCATGGCAGATAGTCAATACCTCAGAGCTAAAGCTGGGTAAGTCAGGGGGTTTATCTCTAGAACACCCTTACTGGATGAGCTTTATTGATTTCCAGACTTATGGCACATGGATAATCTGTGCGATTGAAAAATAGCATCTGGCTTCATTATTTCCATGCTAATGACAGCCAGGTCAGGAAAAATTACCTAAATTGCCTTTTTACAAATTATGAAAGAGTTAAGAACAGAAAGTATCAATACCAAATCCTCTGTGAGTTTTGGACAGATGCCAAACCTGAAGTCAGATCAAAGATCTATAGAGAACTTATCTCACAATCACTAGATGACTCCAGTGATAAAGATGGAGAGAGTTTCGAACAAGAAAGTTGCTCCAGTGAAGCACAGAAGAGTGAGGATTCTGTTAAATCTTACATTCTGGAGAACAGGATCCTTACTAACCCTCGCTTAGCAAATACTGCCGCTATTACTCTTCTAACAGGGTGGAGAGTTGGAACAAAAATGTATGATCAATCAAAAATCCAGGAGTCATTAGCTAGTTTAATCAACTCAGAAGATGGTGAAAGTGCGCCTATCAAATCACTTCGTGCATCTACACAGAATGAGATTGCTTATCTGGTCTCTTTGGGTAACAAGCTGCATGAAGTGGAGAATTTCATTAACTTTCTGACCTTCTCAAAACTTGATAGATGAAACACTAAATTTGACTATCTCTGAAGAATGCTGCTCAAAATAATAGATGAGACTCAAAGAGAGATTACCCTTGAAGAACTCCTTAACGATGATACCTCCGAAAAGAAAGATAATGAGCAAGACGTTTCCGATGAGTCATCTGGTAAGAAAACCAAGTCCAAAAATGGTGTATTTCTCAGAAAGAAAACTCAACCACAGAAAGAAAATGGTGTACCAGAAAGTAAGAGGCTTTATATTGATTTTATTGCAGCTATTGTTGACGAATCTGGTTCATGCTACCTTCTCAGGGGATTTTCAGCCTTAGTTTATCGTCTCGAGTCTATTTTCATCAAAATTCTTGTCTTTCTGGATCAACCACGAAATTAGTGAACTTCACCAGGAGTTTTCAGATGTGGTTATATATAGTTAAAAAAATTAAAAACATATAATATTTAGTAAAATGTCTTCGGTGTTAGATATGATCAGAGACAAGTTATTCGGCCCACCTAAGCTAGAGCTCATTAAGCTGGGTGATGGCGAACAGGTAAGTCGAGGCAATCGTTGAGCCCAGTTCCCTCCAGTTTTCACAAAATGACAATATGCAGCCAAATTCTTAAATTCAATATGGTGCTGCAGAGATGAGAAATTTCAGACTCAGGATGTATCACTTTAAAGTTTTTCAATTCAATGTTTAGTTCTTGAGTATTTAGATATCACTATTTCTATTTGGAGGAAGCCAAGGCATCTGTAATGTTTTAGGCAATTGATATTGAAAGGATACATTTGGGATCTTACGGGCTGTATCTATTTGAATTTAATCAGACCTTACTAAAATCGTGTATAGACTCCAATGAAAACAAAGAAAAATAAGAACAAAAAGAGAAAAAATAAAAATAAGCAAGTTTAAAAATGATGCTCTTTATGGAAGTTATTTAATTGCACTGGCCAAGGCTTCCCTCTAGATATAAAATATTCCTAGTTTTGCACTCAGGCTACTCATTCTCATGAGTCTGCGCTATACCTATATTTCAGGGTCTTTATATTTAACCTTTGTTATAGGAACAAGAAGAAAAAGGCCAGCGAGGCTGCAATTTCAAGGAGTAAAACTGAAGTTATAGAATCTCCTAAAGAGCAAGATTTAAAAATTCCAGAAACTTCCCGCCAGAAAGATCTCTTGAAAGTTGCAGCTGAGCCGTCTTGTGAGCAAGGCTGGACTGCTGTTCCTGAGACTATCAAGAAAAAGAAGTCTAGAAAGAAGAAAACCCAATTAAACAAGCCTAAGATAGATCCTTCTATCAGTAAGAAAACTCAGAAGGGTCAAAACAGCTTAAATACTTCTTCCAAAAATAATTCAGTGAAAAAGAAGGCTTCTCAGGTTACTCAAAAGAAAGAGCCAAAGGCAAAATCAGAGAAACGGAAGAAGCCTCAGAAGACTATGGTTGATAGGATCTCGAAGAGTATCATCCTTCAAATAGTCAATCAATCAGTTGATCTATGTAAGTTCTAACATAAGCCCTTAAAACTGGTGGTTTTGATTGCTCCTTCTCTAGCTAAGTATTTGAATCTCTATAGGACTTGAGCAAATCAAAGCTAAGAAGGATGCTGGCCAAATTGAGAAGAAAGAACTTCCTAAGCCAAAAGAGATCTCTAAGATAATACAAGATAGGTGCAAGGAAGAGAAAGAGATCAAACTAATCACAGAGAATGAAGATATGGAATCTTGTTCTTTAAGTGTAGTTCCAAACCAGAAGGCGTACCAATCTACTCTTAACAGTGAGAGGAACTCTCCTTCAGCTTCTACATGTATTAAGCTTAAGAAGGAAGATATCTCACTGGCTTCACACTGTAAAGAAGACAACTTCGATCAGATCTCTCGACCCTATATTGAAGAGAGTAAAGAGAAGAGATCAGATAATCTTGTGATAACCTCAGAAGAGCATAAACAAACTTCAAAATCAATCCAAGATGAATGTCAGAGTGAGTCAATATTTAGGAGTTCTACTCAAAATAGGCATAAGATATATTATTGATAATGTATAAGAAATAAATCTGAACCCTTTGTATACTCTCTGACAACATTATTATACTGCTTCCCAAAGCAAAGATATCATCTTTGAAAACAAGAAGATTACACTATGCCCTCCTACATACTTAAGAAATGAAAAAAAGACACATCAATGTAAATAGCCATTTCATCTCTTTCTTAAGCATTAAGAAAGAATAAGTAAAGCTTTTTAACCGCATTCTCATTTTTATCAATAACCCATAATCTGCATGAGGAATAATAAAGGCATTGAAAGTATGATAGTCTTTAGCTTCTGGTGCCCGCTGAGACATATTGATGCTTTGAGATATAGTAGATAGTCTAGTTTTGAAAGCAAATAAGACTTGAAGTTAGAGTAAAATAAGCCATAAACCTTTCTTTGAGAGATTAGAGACGACAAACCTCCCAGGAATAATATCTTGGGTGATTGTTAAGCTAATTTATTCACATTTTTGAAATTATTAAAGAAGAAAAATGTGATAGAATAAACTGAGGCTAGTTATATTTCCACAAAAATATATTCAGGTTGAATTAAACTGAGATGCGATCTGAACAAAAGAATACAAAATTGGAACACAACGTTTAAAATTAGATATTTTCCTGTAGATAAGAGGAAAAAGGGGAAATAGTTGTTCTTTCCCAATTTTTCATATATACTGGTTAATTAAAATTCTTTCTAGAGCCATTATCAATAATACACAAAATCGAAACCTTTTAAGCCAACTTATGCTAAGAAAACTCCACATCAGAGTAGTCCATACAACGTTCATGGGCAAAGTACTCAGAACAGTTGGCAATTTCAACAAAACTACAACATGGGTAGCCAGACAAACAATGGGTTTACTCAGCTGTTAGATAACAGCTGTCTGCAGCTGCTTCATGAGAAGTTAATGGCATTCGCGACTACTGGGTACCAAGGATACAACCAAGTCTCAGGAGGATACTATGGACATCATATTTATCAGGGCTCTGATGCTCGGTCTCATGGCATTCCTTCTGGGGTGAATTTTCCTAATGATACCTCTCCTGGATACCAGGAGGGATCAACCTACAATGGAAGCAACAGTAAGTGTTAGTCTCTAATCTCTCTTAGCTGAGTACCAAAGCACTGTTCATGACGAAGCAGGCTTCTTTGAAAGAGTTGATAAAGAAATTTACAAATTTGTAGAAGAAGTCAAGAGAAAACTCGATAGTGTCCAGAAAGAAAGAGAAATCTGTGGTAAGCACTAAATTTTTATCATCTTAGCCCAGAAGATCATCCTTGATATGTGAAAAGAAGCTTTCGAAGGCCAGAAGATCCAGATAGATGTCTTCGGCAGCCTTTCTACAGGTCTTGCTCTTGAGAGTAGTGACATGGATTTGGTCATCATAGGCTTAAAGATCGAAAATCGTGGCGATATCGTTGATCATATAAGAATCCTTGCTCAATATTTTGAAGAATCTGAATATTTTAGGAATATAAACCCTATCGAAGGAGCAAGTATTCCAGTTATAAAACTAGAAGTTGACTTGCAACTAATCAGAGAGAATGAAAATTCTGAAAATAAATCTGAAGTTGGCCCAAACATGAGATATCTTCAGATAGATATAACATTTGAAGATCATAAAAGAATACAATTTGATACCTTCTGGGAAGGAGATGAATGGGATCACTCTAAACTAAATCATTTAGGAATAAAATCGATCCATCTTGTGAAATCTTACCTGAAAGATTATTCCCATATCTCTGAATTAACATTATGAGTGAAGAAACTCTTATCCCTCAGAGGATTAAACTCCCCATACAAAGGAGGACTCAGTTCATATGGAGTAACCATAATGATAGTGGCATATATGAATTTCTTCAGCCTCCAGAACTCTTGGCTTCACGTCTCTCAGCTCCTCATCCACCTACTTGAGTTTTATGGCTCAAAATTTGATGAGAGAAAAGTTGGGATCCTGGTCAACCGTGGAGGATGCTTCTATCCATTCAATTCAGTGTCAGAACACCCAATTGTAATCAAAGATCCTTTGAACATTGAGAACAACATTGGAAAGAGTACTTACAGGTTCTCTGAGATAAAGTCTGCTTTCTCAGAGTCTGCTAGTATCCTTCAAAGAGAGAAGAACTCCTATTATAAGATCTCGGAAGAGGAGATCCTGGAGCAGGATCATCTGCTCCAAGAAGATACTCCTGAATTTATAGAGAAGCTGTTCTACCTCAGAAAGATATTCACTTCTGAAGGGGGAGACTAAGTTCTTCAAAACCATAATTATGAAGTATTATCCAATTTTATTATATAATTTCAGTAATTCAACTGTTTGGAGACACTCCGGGGTTTTGGGGTTTTGGGGTTTTGGGGTTTTGGGGGTAGATCTATATGTCTTG